TTGGAGTGCACCTATAAAAAAAATATTAAAAACAGTTTTTTGATGAAATATAATATCCAAAATTCTCTTTGAAATTAGTGCAAGTTTAACGGAGGAATGAACGTTCAAAATTTGGTATAAAAATAGTTTATAGAAAAAAATTTAAAAATAAAATAATGTTGAGACGTGACATTGCGAATGAAACAAATCTTAACCCTCCATTCAAAATGGAGAGAGGAGAAGATAAAACTTCTATGCCATAAGAGAAGCCTATGAAGCTTTCAAAACTTTGAGCCTCTTAAATTTATTTATTTATTATTATTTTACGTCATTAACCAATTAATCCACATACAATGATTTAAATGGAGATCAATAAGTAGAAACGATGAACCCCATTTATCATTTCCTAAAACGTTGATGTGATTGAATATTTTAAGGGGTTGTGGGGACCAGGATGGAAAGTTCAAACGACCGAGGCAGGTGATACTAGAGTCAGAAGGTAGGGTGTACCACATAGAAGAATTATCCCCGTCCTAAATAATGTGTACTCGCATTTATTCATAATCTGTACACAACACAACAAATGTTTTTGTTGCGAGTAGAGATGGAGATGGCGATGGCGATGGCGACAGTTTTTGGTAGGGATCATGTTTGGCCTCCTATTTGGGGGGAAGCAATTTTGGCCCTTTGGGATGAAAGGGAATGAGGGCAAAATGGTCATTTCGGCATAGGACGTGGGTCATTCTAGATAAAGGTAATGGCAGTTTAGTCATTCATTCTCGCCCCGTCTTTTGGCTTTTAAATTGCCACTCCTCTGCATCAACCGCGATATGAATTCTATTTGGTGTCGTGTCATTTTCGAAGATGCATATAAAGAGGGCCGTGACCCGCGTAACTTCCCTTTAAACGGGAGATACAGATCGGTGAAGCGCACTGCGCACGTCTCTCTCTAACGCCCTGTTGCTCTCTTTCTCTCTCTAACGGGAGGGACAGCAAAAGTGTTCATTCTCGTGCTCTCGCTCTCTCTCTCTCTCGCTTTTCTCTTTATTCCCCTTGACGATGTTCTCTCTCCTCTGCAACCGCTGAGAAGGTGCTTAAAAAAACGCTCTCGCTTTCCCGCATGAAACCCGACCCTAACTTGCATCCGTACCCCGCCCTCCTCTCTCTCTACTACTAACTAACTTCTCTCTCTCTCTCTCTCTAATAACTACACACACTACTACTACTTCTAACAAATAACTACTACTCTCTCTCTCTCTCTCTAAGACTCAACGACGCACACCGTACCTCTCCTCCTCTCTCTCTCTCTCTCTCTCTCTTCTTCTTCCTCTTATAACACGCACCCACACACACTCTCTCTTTTTATTTATCTATCTGCCTATCTGTTTCGAAATGCTATGTCGATCTGCATTGAACCAGAAATCGGAGACCTCTGAGATGAGTGGAGATAAGGGTATCAGGGCTTCAAATGGTTGTTGCGATATGCGCCTCAAGTGCTGGTGCAGGTGGCACCCAACATTCGATCACTCCTTCCTCATTTCCTCTGCCTTCTCCTTCTTCCTTATTTCGTCTCTCCTCTTCGGATCACTCGCTTTGGCCTTTGCATGGCTTACCTTCTCTCCTTATGAGAGGCCTCGCCTCTCTTCCTATGGTTGCCAAGACGACAATGAGGGATCCTGGTCTATTGGTGTTTATTATGGCGACAATCCCTTCTCTTTGAAGCCCCTTGAATTGGTACTCTCTCGCGATTCTCTCTCTTAATATATGCTTTCTTTCTCTATCTGGTCTATCTCGCGCTTGTCTGATAGGGTCGGTTGTTGATCGATAGTGGTTTTTTGTGGACAGAGGAATGTGTGGAGTGATAAGGGTTTGGCCTGGCCTGTGGCCAACCCTGTTATGACATGTGCTTTGGCGTCAGATGCTGGTTATCCTAGCAATTTTGTTGCCGATCCCTTCCTATATGTACAGGTGAGCTATGGCTCGTGAACGTAATTTTTGTTGTTGATTATTACTAATTTGCAGTGTTGTACTTCTTATACATTAGGAAGGATCGATAATATATGTTGAAATTGTTTCAAAGAAAATATTTTTATTTATCTGGAGCTATGGAGTTTAATGGTTTCGAACTCTTCAAATTTATCCTTTTTTGGGTTAAGAAAGAACACATAATTCTGGATATTTGAAATGAGTTGGTCTTTAATGGAATTAGTTTGAAATATTGTTCGAAGATGATGATATGTTCTGCATATGTCGTACTTTATGATTTGTTTTTTCGCAATCAGTGATAGCATCAGAATATCAGCCTTGGGTCCATTTAGAGATTTGAGTTGAAGTTGAATTGTTTTGATACGCTACCAAGGTTTAAATGTATTCTTTCTACGATTACTGTTTTTTGTGCACCTCTGTGGCTTGGACTTCAACCAGTTCCAGTTGTACACTTCATTGGGACCATGAAGTTGAAAGGAAAGTGATTTTAATCCGATTGACTATGGAGAAACCATCAATTCCTTGTGTCATCACTTTCCGATCAATGAATGGATGATGATGGGGAGAAAGTGCTTCATGCTTTGGTGGGTCCCTTTCTCTTTCAAAACTGATGTTGGATTCCTGGAAGAATCGCCATTGAAATTAACCTTCATCATGTAACAATAATAAAATGGATGTCCAAACTTATGAAGATGGAAATCAACCGAAGCACGTTGTCGGGGAATTTAGGTGGACGAAAGAATTAAGATGGTTGTTAAAGATGGAAGAGCCAATACTTAAAATCTTTTATAAACTATGTGCAGGGCTGAAATAGTGTGTGATGGAGGACCCTCTAGGGAATGTTATTTGTGGTAGTTCAATTAACAGATTGTCCATGCACCTTTGGGGATGCTTTGCCTTACTTGTACTGTCCCTTCATATTGAGACAATCACATCAAAGGATTTTGCAGTTCAAACGTTCTTGAATAATTGTATTAGTATCTATCTAGATTTCTCTTGTCGTGGAAATCATTTGTTCCAATAGTTTTTAAAAATCCTTAATAAGTTCAATGCCTACAATATCTAGTGTGAGTGAATCACTTGATGTGTTTGATTGGTTTTGAGGTTGTTCTAATGCCTACAATATCTATTTAGCTTTGCCTCTTTGTATTAAGCTTCCTAGGGAACATTTAATCAGATCATATTATCTAGAGGATATTGTTTAGATTTGAAGAATGAAATTTTGTCTTACTTCAATCTATTTCGGCGAGTTCTATTCTTATCAATACCACTCTTTCTTGGATTTTTGTGCTCTTATGTTATCGAGAACACAACTTTATCAGTTTAGACACTCAATAGGGAAATTCTAGGACTCTATGAGATTTTTGTATTGTTAGACTATTTATTAAGTGCTAATGCTATTTTGGAGTCTAGGATATGGGATTCTCTGGACATGCTTTTGTGTCATGCAGTGATGCAGATCTTGGTTTGTTTATTGAATTTCTGGCATTTTCTGTTTGACATGAAATATCACAAGTAATGAATTCTTTGATAACAAATTTGGCCACAAGGGTATATTTTTGTAATACAACCAAGTTGGGAATTGTGACTGGGAGTAAGGAGGTTTAAGATGGTATTGGAGTTGTACACTTTAGATCTGCTTGCTAGAGGTGCATGGACTCATCTTTTGCTATGCACCATTGTGCCTAAGAATTGGAAGATCTTGGAAGTGGGTGAGCCTTAGTGGCTGCTTTCTATTTGTCCATGGTTCAGAGCACCTAGAATGCATTGGTACAGAGCCAATTGCCGTAAGATTTAGTGTAAAGAATATTCTGGGAGTAAGGGGGTTTAAGATGGTATTGTAGTTGTATACTTTAGGTCTGCTTGCTAGAGGTACATGGACACATCTTTTGCTATGCACCATTGTGCCTAAGAAGTAGAAGATATTGGAAGTGGGGGTGCCTTAGTGGCTGCTTTCTATTGGTCCATGGTACAGAGCACCTAGAATGCATTGCTACAGAGCCAGTTGCCCTAAGATTTAGTGTAAAGAAGATTTTGGTTACTAAGAATTACTGGTTGAGTGAATGTGTCAATGGATGCCAAAGCTTTTTGAAAAAATTACTGATAAGAATAATTTGATGATAACTCATCATATATATTTTATGTTTTCAAATTTCTAAAATGAATTGCTTGGTTCTTTGATGCATCGATTCATGAATTTCTGAATGCCTAACAAACATAATAATTTCAAGTCGTCTCATGTCATCTAGGTTGGTGATAGTTCCTTTGGAAATTGCATTTCCCCTGAAACTGGAACACTCAGGATCCTAAGAGAAGAAATTTGGTATGGTGAATGATCAGAACTTTTAGTATGGATGTAACTAAATCTACATTTATCCCTTAGGGATGGGTGGAAGAAATTTGAAGCACGGAAGAAGTTGAGAGCAAGGTCCTGAGCTGTTAGTTATTTATAAACAACGAGGTTATGTTCTAGATAACAAAGACTATATCGATGACATTCTCTGTACTTTTTAGTTGACATGGATGACATTTCTGTTATTGTAGATCAATTAGAGTCTCCTAGGATCGTATGGTTTCTTTCCTAGATATGGTCCAGAAATGAAGCTAGGGAAAGATGGATGACATAAACAATGTAAATGGTCATCCACCTTTGGTAAATAACCCTTCTGTTTACATTCTTTTCTTACCAAGTTGGAAAAATAGCAGCACATGTCAATCGAACCTGATGAAATGGCTCATGTTATTCAACAAAGAGAATAACAAAGGAAACAATCGATTTTCATTTCATACATAGCTCATCCAAGATGGGCACTATAAATCCCATTCTTAACTGTATCATATTTGGTTTGAGAAATGAATTCTAAGTCATTTTCTATATTCCAGCACTTATTTCTCTTCTAATATTCAAAATGTAGCTCTGAGCTATATTTGATGCTGTATCTGTTCTATTACAATGCTCTGGTTATCTTGTATGTCATATTACATCACTATGGATGTGATAACACTTGTAAATTTTCCAGTGTAACTTGTATGGTCGCTCTACCATTTATTAGTTGGAAACTTCGGTAGGAAGTATATTCTAACATGAAGTCTTTTTTTTTTCTTTCTAATATGTCTTATGTTCTATATTCCTGTTTTGTGTCAGGATATATGGAAATACTGTGGATGCTTATTATTCATTTAGTTGAAAGATATTGTTCTTTCTTCTTTTCTGGTGTATTAGTTGAAAATATGGGAATGTTCTTTCTTCTTTACTTCTTTCTGGCCTCAATAGTTTAGTAATTTCTACTTGCATTTTTCAGTTTGCCTTTGACATTGGTAGTGAACTTAAAATAGCTAATTTGTTTCTGAGTATCAGCTTTCCAGAAACGAGGTTCTGTTGTTTCTTTGCAAATATGGTTTCTATTTTGATCTCTAACAGTCTGTTATATAAATCTTTTTCTATTCAGGATGATATTTTATACATGTTTTTTGAAACAAAGAACTCAGTCACTTTGAAAGGAGAGATTGGTGTTGCAAGAAGTCTTGATAACAGTGCAACTTGGGAGCACTTGGGAATTGCGTTAGATGAGGAGTGGCATCTTTCATTTCCATATGTTTTTAGCTACAATGGCGAAGTAAGATTAACCTAACTTCAGTTAATCTCAACTTATTCTTGCAACATGTTACGTTGGAACCTGATCTTTTAAACTAGACTACATTGCTGAAGTATTCCTTTACATTTCATACACTCATACAATCAAGCCACATCAATCAAATCTATTTCACTGATGTATATGGGGGGATCTGTTCTTTCTCTTACTCCTAATTTAATGTAGTTAAGGCCATTCCTGTCAACGTGAGACTGATGTACAATATGAAATCTTCCCCTTTTTAGAATAAATTTTATCTATTTTCCTTGAATATCCTCATTTTAATGCAACTAAGGCCATGCCTATGGCAATATACGATGTTTTTGTAAAAGGGCGATTCTAATCCTTTTATTTGCCTTTTCTTTTGTGCTTTCTCTGTCATCCTGAAATAAAAAGAATTTTTATTGGTTCAACCATTCAATAGATGATCTGATCCACCCCTTATCGAGCCTTGTAATTGGAAAAGGGTCAGGACATGGCCTAGCTACCTTATCCAGCATTTAATTATTTAAATCATACTCTCTCTCTCTCTCTCCCTCCCCCCCCCCNCTCTCTCTCTCTCTCTCTCTCTACTACTACTACTACTTACTACTACTACTACTACTACTACTCTACTCTCTACTTCTTACTCTACGTACTACTTCGTACTACGTACTTACTTACTTACTTACGTTACT